CGTATGACCGCCGGTGGAGTTTCTCAGGCTCCGGCAGCAACTTCGTGAGCGGTGGCAATTTGGCATGCCAACAAATTGCCGAAGGACCTTGTGAAGGTTCATGTTCGTGTTGAATTTGTGTGTCCATTTTGCCCTTCGTAAGGCACTCGTGAGGGCATCTTGTCAAATCGTGGCATCTTTGTGTGATCATCGGTGCCATCGGGCATTTTTCGCCTCACGAAGACAATATGAAGGAAACAAGAAGCTGCCCGATTGTCTTAGGAAGGCGACACGACTACGTGAAGCCCTCGCAATGCCGTTGTGTAGCCATCGTATTATAGTACGATGACATCGAGATTGCATTTATTGCACAACAAAATCATGTAAACATATTATGTAAATAACTCAATTTGTGTTCTGTGAAACTGAAAAAGATATTACATTGTTTTTGTTACTTGCGTTAAATGTCTTAAATGTTATTTAGGTTAACTTCCTGTTTTATTTAGATGCTTTTATTTTGAAGGCGAGTTTACGCTGTTGACAGGAAGTTGTTGTTCCTATGGAAACAACGTGACAAAGATAAGTAATATCTTCTACATATAAAGACAGAGAAAGTAAAGAATAAAGTGTATGTTTAGATGTTAGCGCCCCCCGAAGAGCCACAAGCTCTTACGTTGAGTCTGGATACATTCTAAATCATCAGTAACGTCTACGAACACATTTTCTTAGTGCGGGTGCCATCGTGTGGCCTTCTGTAGGCATCGTACTTGCTTCGGCTGTTGCTTGGCTGTTGACCAAGTTCGGGGCCATCTTCGTGCGAAATTCACAATTCCATATTCGTGTGTCCATCTGGTGTCAATGTCGGGACAGTGAGACAGGGGCTTTAACATATGTCTCTGTTAAACACATACAAGACTAAATATACAATTTAACAGTCTAAAAGGCAATCAGAGTATAAGACTATATGTTTCAAATTATTATATGATAATTTGACACGACAGCCTTCATTTCCTCCCCCCAATGACTCCTGTAACTCCCTTTTCTACGTCTTCAACGCCCCCTCTCTCTATAAACTCAAACTGGTTCAAAATGCAGCCGCCAAAGTCCCAAAAAACACCAAATCATGGCACCACATCCCCCCCAATCCTCAAAAACCTTCACTGGTTTCCCGTCTCCCAACACATCAACTACAAGATACTGGTCCTCACCTACAAAGCCTCGATAAACATTCATCTGTTTGTCATCTTGCAATATACTTATTTATAGTTATATTTCCTTTTGTCAGAGACATGGAGAAGAGGGGACACATGGTGATGTAGAAGAGACATGAAGAAGAGGGGACACATGTTGATGAAGAAGAGACATGAAGAAGAGGGGACACATGTTGATGTAGAAGAGACATGAAGAAGAGGGGACACATGATGATGTAGAAGAGACATGGATAAGAGGGGACACATGTTGATGTAGAAGAGACATGGATAAGAGGGGACACATGTTGATGTAGAAAAGACATGAAGAAGAGGGGACACATGTTGATGAAGAAGAGACATGAAGAAGAGGGGACACATGTTGATGTAGAAGAGACATGGATAAGAGGGGACACATGTTGATGTAGAAGAGACATGAAGAAGAGGGGACACATGTTGATGAAGAAGAGACATGAAGAAGAGGGGACACATGTTGATGTAGAAGAGACATGAAGAAGAGGGGACACATGTTGATGTAGAAGAGACATGAAGAAGAGGGGACACATGTTGATGTAGAAGAGACATGAAGAAGAGGGGACACATGTTGATCTAGAAGAGACATGAAGAAGAGGGGACACATGTTGATGTAGAAGAGACATGAAGAAGAGGGGACACATGTTGATGTAGAAGAGACATGAAGAAGAGGGGACACATGTTGATGTAGAAGAGACATGAAGAAGAGGAGACACATGTTGATGTAGAAGAGACATGAAGAAGAGGGGACACATGTTGATGGATAAAGTGGGTTTTGCATAATAGGTGACCTTTAAGACCAAATCAACACACTTTGGAGTGTTAAAACCTGACTACACTGCGTGTCTAACCTCGCGTCTGATCTGATCCTGAATCAGTTTTCTTGCCGCACGTTAGTTTTCCCGCCCTGTGCAGAAACAGCAGCGGTAAAACCAGACTGCTGGGCAAACACAGCCAAACCACTGAAGTCAGCATCGTGCATCTGTAGCATTTACCCAAATTCATGGAGATGTAAATCAAGAGAAAGAGCAGCTGTCCCCCAAATCTGAAACAAAGAGCCAACATGATCGCCATGATGGTTCTGAACGCCCTCTTCTTGGATTGGTCCACCCTCCCTTTGTCCCCGCCCCCTTCCCCCGGCCCTGGACGAATCAGAGCGCGGAGAACGGAGAGACTGCAGAATGCCACGACAACCATGGAGAAGGTGGTGACGCAGAAATATGGCACCAAGATGACACTTTTAGCAGTGAGACCAATCCACATGAATAAAAGCAGCCAAACGAACGCAATGCTCACGTTCCTGATCATGATCCCGCCCCTATTCTTCAAACGCAGGTAGGTGATTGGATGAACCACAGCCAGGTGGCGCTCCACACAGGTGAGGATGTGAAATGGGACGTGTCCGTTAGTGGTGGCAACGGCCAAATAAACAGCAACGTTCATCCAGAAAGGCTTTTTCAGAACGTCGGCGAAACAGTGGAAGATGCAGCTGAAAACACCGAGCATCTCCATGGCGGCCATGTTGTACGTGAAGACATCGGAGTGACTTCCTGTTGAGGAGAGAGGGGAAAGAAGTACTCAGATCTTGTGCTTGAGTAAAAGTAGAAAGACTCAGATCTTGTACTAGAGTAAAAGTAGAAGTACTCAGATCTTGTACTAGAGTAAAAGTAGAAGTACTCAGATATTGTACTTGAGTAAAAGTAGAAGTACTCAGGTCTTGTACTTGAGTAAAAGTAGAAGTACCAGAGTGTAGGAATACTCTGTTACAGTAAAAGTCCTGCATTCAAAATGTTCCTCAAGTAAAAGTAGAAAAGTATTCTCATCAAAATATAGTGAAAGTAGCGACAGTAAAAGTAGTCGTTGTGCAGATTGGTCCATTTCAGAATAATATATATGATATGTTTTATAATGATTGATCATGAAAGTGTTCTCAAAGCTGGTAAAGGTGCAGCTAGTTTGAATGACTTTGTATACTGCAGGGTAGCTGGTGGATTTACTCCAGGTGGAACTAAAGTCTGATTCAACACTTGATTATATTTCACATCATTCATCCAGATCTGTGAAGTAACTAAAGGTATTAAATACATGTAGAGGAGTAAAAGTACACCATTTACCTCTGAACTGTAGTGGAGTAGAAGTACAAAATAGCATAAAAAGTCCCTCACAATTGTGCTTAAGAACAGTATTTGAGTAAATGTACTAACCTTTAGTCGTGGAGTCCCGCCCCCAATATCTCTGGACGCCCAATGAGAAGACGAGGATGCAGGGAGCAAGCAGAATCAAGATGGTGGCGATGGAATAGGAGGTGAAGATGATGAAGCTGTTTCTGCAGTCATAGCAGTGGTAAGAGGAGGAGGAATCAGAGGAGGGGGGAAGGAGGGAGGCGTTGGAGGAGTTGGAGAACATGGCTGTTTATATAAAGGAGAGAGAGAGGGAGAACATCTAGATGAGACATGGTCAAAACAAAACACCAATAACCCAGCTAAATGTCGTTTTAAAGTAAACTAATAATTAATTCTGAATTTAATATTTATTTGATCTTTTATTGGACATTTTAACTTTATCTTTGAACTTTAAGTTTTTTCTAAACTTATATTTTAGAATAATTTTGGGACATTTGTACTTTAACTTATGTTGTATAATTATTTTCGATTCTAATTTTTATTTTAGGTGCTTATATTTAAATATATATCTTTATTATATATTATTTTATATTTTATTGCACATTTTTACATAATATTAAAAAATAGATATTTATATACAGTCATGAAACCCAATTCCACCGAAATAAGAAAGGTATTCTGAAATCTAACTCATGACATTGAATCAGCTAAATATTTTAGATTACACAATTAAATTGTTTTTAATTATCTGTCGATGTTAAGGATTTAAGTACAATGTACTTGAAGAGCTAATACGGCATAGGACTGACCTTTTAATAAAGCAAAGAAAGGTTCGTTTTTCATAATTAATAAGTACATAAAACACACCAAAGTAACTCACTTTTTAATTATTTTCTATTCATATTTACATTTTAGCTGCTTATATTTAAATATATATTTTTATTATATATTTTTTATATTTTATTGCACATTTTTACTAATTTTTCTATATTTTTATTTATATTTTAATATTAAAAATATATATATTTATATACTATCACAATACCCCCAATTCCCCCGGGGTAAATAAAGCATTCTGAAATCTAACTCCTGACATTGAATCAGCTAAATATTTTAGATTACTCAATTACATTGTTCCTAATTATCTGTCGATGTTAAGGATATAAGTATAATGTACTTGAAGAGCTATCTAATACGGCATAGGACTATCCTTTTATACATCAATAAAAAGGTCAGTCTTTCATAATTAATAAGTGCATAAAACACACCAAAGTAACTCACTGTTTCAGCAGCGTTTCTTCTTCTGATGTCTGGTCTCTCCAAACTGAACGACAGCCTTCTCCTGTATATATGTATATATATATGTATATATATATATATATATATATACATATATATATATATATATATTAATATCTGCGAGCAGGTGCCTTTGTATTTGTTTCCTGTTTGCATGAAGATGGGATTGTTTGCATCGCCAATACAGATATCATGATAAAGCCCTGAAACATTATACTGTACATCTCAGTATGCAAATGTCCTGCTCTGATTTCCCTTTTCTTCCTCCAGCTGTATGACGTTCAAAGCTCATTCATCAGAGACAACAACAACACACAGAGACAGCGTCTTTAAATACATCACTCTTTATTCAATGAAAACACACAACTTCACACCGACAGTTCTCCTTTATAACGTTTACACTTCTGTATTTTAATCATCATGGATCATGCATGAAGTCACACTGTAATCAAAGCGTGACAGTAAACAGAGATCACTGATGAATAGAGTAAAGGGAGATGGAATATAATCTATTGTTGTTATTTGCATCACAAACACACATTTCAAATGATTAGGAACAACTCTGACACACATTTGGGCTGTTTTTGGGCCGTTTTTGGGCTGTTTTTGGGCCGTTTTTGGGCCGTTTTTGGGCTGTTTTTGGGCCGTTTTTGGGCCGTTTTTGGTGATTATCAATGTAATATTTTACACTTCTTTTGCAGCTAGCTCCTCCTAAAGCCATGTTTGAGTTTGCACCCTTTCTGTTGCTATTTTAATACAAAAAACAGCCAATATAACCAGGCTTTAGTCCAGTCTGACTGGTGAAATTAAGTGTAAAATTCAATATTTTAAACAAGATGTTGTCACTTTTTTAAATTAGAATAAAAACAAATGTCTCATAGGTGACAGCTATTTAGAAAAAACCCACAAAACAAAGTGGACAACGGTTAAAACCTGCTTAGCCTAATGATATATATCAGTCTTTGCTTATTTTGCTTATTTCTAACCTTTTTTCCTTCTGGTAGTTCCCATATATTTCGCTCAGAGACTAAATCAACACACTTGCAAGCGTTTAGACGAAACCTGACTACTGTGCGTCTAACCTCTGATCTGATCCTGAATCAGTTTTCTTGCCGCACGTTAGTTTTCCCGCCCTGTGCAGAAACAGCAGCGGTAAAACCAGACTGCTGGGCAAACACAGCCAAACTTGGGAGACAAACAACGCACATGGCATACAAAAACCCAAATCCATGGAGACCAAGATCGAAAAAAGAAGCAGATGTCCGCAAAATCTGAAACAAAGAGCCAACATGATCGCCATGATGGTGTAGAACGCCCTCTTCTTGGATTGGCCCAACCTCCCTTTGTCCCCGCCCCCTTCTCCGGGCCCTGGACGAATCAGAGCGCGGAGAACGGAGAGACTGCAGAACGTCACGACAACCATCGAGAAGGTGGTGACGCAGAAATATGGCGCCATGCTGTAACTGAGAATGGAGACAGGAAACCAGGTGAAGAAGAGCAGCCAAGCGAACGCAATGCTCACGTTTCTGATCATGATCCCGCCCCTATTCCTCAAACGCAGGTAGGTGATTGGATGAACCACAGCCAGGTGGCGCTCCACACAGGTGAGGATGTGAAATGGCATTTGTCCGTTAGTGGAGAAAAGGTAGAAGTAAAAAACAATTTTTAATAAAAGGGGGTTTGCCAAGATGGCGCCGAGGCAATTAATGATGGAGCCGAGAACTCCAACCATCTCCATCACAGCCATGTGATACGTGAAGACATCGGAGTGACTTCCTGTCGTGGAGAGAGGAGAAAGAAGTACTCAGATCTTGTACTTGAGTAAAAGTAGAAGTACCAGAGTGTAGGAATACTCAACCCAGTCTCATATCTAAACGTATAATAACTACGTTGGTCCACAACTTGGGACGTAGTATTTCTACAAAAACGCCCCCCCCGCAGAAAAAATATAACATGGCCGACCTTCGTTTTGTTCTTGGTGGAAAATGCCTATTTTAAGGTTGACTAGAAGATAAAGATGACTTTCAAAGAGAAAAGCAAGCACACTCGGAATAAAGTATTATTTTATTTTTATGTTTTCGGATTTCACATTGCATAAACACCATTTCCCAACGTGCATTGCGGCTAAACCATCCAATCACCGAGCTGAGGATCTTGGCCTGTTTCCGGTATTTGTTAATGACGATGTGATGTGAGATGTGAGACTGGGTTGGAGAATTGCACAGGGGAAAATAACGTATCTATGCCACCATTTTAGATGCAGATTTTGTTAAACTAATAAGTTTGCGCTGTGGACCAACACTATACATTGACGGGGAAGGGGGTAGCAATAAAGATAACACCATTAGACAGTTACACAACATAACAGAAATAATATCGATAGCATGCGTCCATAGCAACCACCTTGGTAACAATGAAAACGTTGTATGGACACAATTTCCTGAAGTAATCTTCGTAATAACTAGCAAACTAAAGATCATGTACTGCACACATAATCTGAAATAACAACTCATATTTCTCGCATCAAATGACATCAAAACGCATTTTAATGGCCAAACTAACTTTAAAATAGGCATTTTACACCGAGAATAAAACGAAGGTCGGCCATGTTTTGTTTTTTTCTGCGGGGAGAAATGTGAAGATCACGTGACAGACGCCAGCCATTGGAATGAATGGTGAAAAAAAACGTAGGGATCTTACAATTTCAGAGGCCTTTTTGTAGAAATACTACGTCCTACGTTGTGGACCAACGTAGTTATTACACGTTTAGATTTGAGACTGGGTTGGAATACTCTGTTACGGTAAAAGTCCTGCATTCAAAATGTTCCTCAAGTGAAAGTAGAAAAGTATTATCATCTAAATATAGTGAAAGTAGCGACAGTAAAAGTAGTCGTTGTGCAGATTGGTCCATTTCAGAATAATATATATGATATGTTTTATAATGATTGATCATGTAAGTGTTCTCAGAGCTGGTAAAGGTGCAGCTAGTTTGAATGACTTTGTATACTGCAGGGGAGCTGGTGGATTTACTCCAGGTGGAACTAAAGTCTGATTTAACACTTGGTTAGATTTCACATCATTCATCCACATCTGTGAAGTAACTAAAGGTATTAAATCCTGTAGAGGAGAACAAGTACACCATGTACCTCTGAACTGAAGTGGAGAACAAGTACACCATGTACCTCTGAACTGAAGTGGAGAACTTGTACAAAATAGCAAAAAACTCGAGTAAATGTTTTTAGTTACTTCCCACCTCTGATCGTTGAGTCTCGCCCTCGATATCTTTGCACTCCCAGGTAGAAGATGGAGGAGCAGAGAGGAAGAAGAACCAGGATGTTGGCGACGGAGTAGGAAATGAAGAAGATGAAGCTGGGTCTGCATCTGAAGCAGGTATACTCGGAGGAAGAGGAGGCATTCGAGGAGTTGGAGGACATGGCTGTTTCTATAAAAGAGGACAGAGGGAAAAATGTCAACATGTAGATTAGATGTCGATATCTGTGTTTAGGGAACACTTGAAATAGTCCACATACATTTTAAGGAAAGTATATATTGATCTTTTATTGGCAAGGCAAGTTTATTCATACAGCACCTTTCAACACAAGGCAATTCAAAGTGCTTGACAAAACTGAAAGACATGAAGAGCATTAAGAAACATATTCAACTCATTTAAAAGCAGTACTTTTAACTTAAAAGTAGTAGTTTTTCATCATAATAATACAAAAAGTCACAAAGTAACTCACTTTTTCAGCAGCGTTTCTTCTTCTGTTGTGTGGTTTCTCCAAACTGAACGACAGCCTTCTGGGTTCTCCTCTATAAATATTAATATTTGCGTGCAGTGCCTCTTTTGTAATGGTGTTTGCATGAATATGGGATACTTTTGCATCTCAGAAAGCCAGAACCCTGAAACTTTATACTGTACATCTCAGTAGGCAAATGTCCTGTCTGTGCATGACGTCCAAAACATCGATCATAGATGCAAACAACAGCAGACACACGAAATCTTTAAATACGTCATTTAATGAAAGCACACAACTCTACACCAGCAGCTCTCCTTTATAACATTAAAAAACATCATTATATATTATAAATAACTCCTTTCTTCCTAAATATACAGAAACATATCACCATTATTTGTATATTAAAAGATACAGAAAATACATTAAATAAGGAGTTTGGAGTTACATTTCAGACCCAACTTGTAATAACTCAATGCAATTTCCCTTTGAAACACTTATATTATAGCTTAACAGTTTTTATGCCTCAAAATATTCGTTAAATAGCCAATTTGTATTGAATACACACTTTCCTATGTCATCGCTAGCAAGTTAGCAAGAGGAATTAAATGATTTTACTATTGTTACGACCCTGGATCGTTAGGTCATTTGTGTGTAAATGTTTCCCTCCTCGTGTGTGTGTGTGTGTGTGTGTGTGTGTGTGTGTGTGTGTGTGTGTGTGTGTGTGTGTGTGTGTGTGTGTGTGTGTGTGTGTGTGTGTGTGTGTGTGTGTGTGTGTGTGTGTGTGTGTGTGTGTGTGTGTGTGGTGCCCGTTAGCTGATTAGCTACCTTCTGCATGCTGATTGGTCCACCTGAGGAGACGGGAGCATATTAAGCTACAGCCGTGCAGTTCCTCGGCCGCTCTCTCTGACTCAACTTCTCCTACTCCCAATGCGGCGCTTGTTTAGATATTTTGTCCTGTGTTCAGACTTTGATATCATGTTGTCCTTCTCCGCTGGCTGCGAGCTACTTTCACATTACCTGTCTTTGTAAGACGGATTTATGTTCTCATGAGTGCAAACCCTTTGTTTTCTTTTTCCCTTTTGGCTTGTTCATTTTCTCCTGTTTAAGTTAGAGTAGGTAAGACGCCTGTATATTTATTTTCTCGGTTAGGTAAGATTTTGTGTTTAAAGGTTTGTTTGTTTTCTTTGGTTTTGTTACTCATGTTTGTAAATAATTTTTGGTAATTAAATTTACCAAACGGCATTCTCTGACTCGGTGTCCGTGTTCTTGGGAGTTGGGAGTTGGGAGAGTGCGAATTTTGTGCTGCGCCTAGGTTCCCCTAGACCTGGGCGTAACACTATCATATGCACAGTAGCTATAGCTCAGTGTCCTCTGACAATGCAACATAGATTTATAAAATATATGAAACAATATAAATAGTGCAAGAAGAAACAGATTAGAAGTAAATAAATGCTTCAAGAGACCAATGTGCAAGGAAAGGGGAAAGAAGTCAACTCTAAACATGTAACATGGATTAAGATGTGCTACAAACTGAATTTAAAATTACTTTTCTTTCCCAGATGAAGGCCTTATTTTAAGATGTTTAATATAATGCTTTTCAAAAGACTTCAGCGGGAACACTTCATTTGAAAGGGCTGAGCTACTGACTCCGTGGAGGTCACATCCCACGGTCATATCTTTAATAAGAGATGAATTGGTGAAAAAAAGATTATAATGCATAAAATCCCACATCTTAGCTTTTTTAAGACTCTCGGAAAATCTTTACTGAAAAAATAGTGACACTGTGAGCTCTCCGTAGAGGTAACAGGTTTCGATAACAAAAAACACTCTTACGAGGAAAAGGTTAACAAAGTATCAAAAGTCAAAAAGATCAAAACCTCGGTTCTTAGCTCTTAGCAGAAAACATGGACTTCACGCTGGCAGTCAGGCACATGGGACGAAACGAACTGGCAACAAGACAAGGGAGACAGAAACTATATATAGGCAGGCTAAGGGGGAACAGGTGCAGACAATTAGGGCGGAGTCGACAATCACAGTGGAGGGAAAACACACAAAGGGAGGAAGTGAGGTAATCTGCAACAAGAAGGAAAGGTTACTACAAAATAAAACAGAATACAAGACTGAACTAAAAACATTAACTTAACAGATTTTACGAGATATAACAAACTGATACTGTTTTCCTCATTGAACATTTAGAGAAAAATAAATATTCAGGGCTCCTCTCCCTCAGGGGCCTCTCCCTCAGGGCCCTCTCCCTCAGGGCCCTCTCCCTCAGGGCCTCTCCCTCAGGGGCTTCTATCTCAGGGGCCTCTCCCTCAGGGCCCTCTCCCTCAGGGCCTCTCCCTCAGGACCCTCTCCCTCAGGGGCTTCTATCTCAGGGCCCTCTCCCTCAGGGGCCTCTCCCTCAGGGCCCTCTCCCTCAGGGGCTTCTATCTCAGGGGCCTCTCCCTCAGAGCTCCTCTCCCTCAGGGGCCTCTCCCTCAGGGCCCTCTCCCTCAGGGACCTCTCCCTCAGGGGCTTCTATCTCAGGGGCCTCTCCCTCAGGGCTCCTCTCCCTCAGGGAACTCTCCCTCAGGGGCTTCTATCTCAGGGGCCTCTCCCTCAGGGCTCTTCTCCCTCAGGGCTCCTCTCCCTCAGGGAACTCTCCCTCAGGGGCCTCTCCCTCAGGGCCCTCTCCCTCAGGGCTCCTCTCCCTCAGGGCCCTCTCCCTCAGGGCTCCTCTCCCTCAGGGCCCTCTCCCTCAGGGCTCCTCTCCCTCAGGGCTCCTCTCCCTCAGGGCCCTCTCCCTCAGGGCCCTCTCCCTCAGGGCCCTCTCCCTCAGGGCCCTCTCCCTCAGGGCCCTCTCCCTCAGGGGCCTCTTCCTGGTCTGTTGACTGTTGGTCAGGCTCATAGTCTGGATCGCTGTTGTCTTCCATTTCTGATACATCGTCCTCTATTGCTGGTTCAATCTCCTCTTCATCTGGTTCAAAACATTTGTCCAGAGCGTCTCTGACAGAAAATCGCCTAATCGGTCGCCTACTCATTGTGTCAATGAGTCAAATGTGAGCAAGGCACAAATATAACTGCATGAGAGCCAGTAATGGAGGGGCATTTAGCGCGAGAAAGCGAGAGGTTCCCGTAACTTAGAGTAAATGGTGTTGTCTGGAAGGTGTGGGGGGGACATAAGCATAAGAAGTGTGTGTGTGTGTGTGTGTGTGTGTGTGTGTGTGTGTGTGTGGCCTGGCATTACTATACTTGTGGGGACCGAAATCTGTTTACACAATCACGTGTGGGGACTCGCCTCCCTTATGGGGACAAATTGGAGGTCCCCATAAGGGGAATCATTAATTTTAGGGTGAAGACTTGGTTAGGTTTAGGGTTAGGGTTAGGCATGTGTTGGTTATGGTTAAGGTTAGGGTAAGTCTCCGGAAAATGCATGTAAGTCAAGGTAATGTCCCCTGAAGTGATGTATACATGGTATGCGTGTGTGTGTGTGTGTGTGTGTGTGTGTATGCATGTGTGTGTGTGTGTGTGTGTGTGTGTGTGTGTGTGTGTGTGTGTGTGTGTGTGTGTGTGTGTGTGTGTGGCCTAGCATTACTATAGTTGTGGGAACCAAAATATATTTACATAGTCACGTGTGGGGACTCGCCTCCCTTATGGGGACAAAATGGAGGTCCCCATAAGGGGAATCATTAATTTTAGGATGAAGACTTGGTTAGGTTAAGGGTAAGGGTTAGGCATGTGTTGGTTATGGTTAAGGTTAGGATAAGTCTCCAGGAAATGCATGTAAGTCAATGTAATGTCCCCTGAAGTGATGTATGCATGGTGTGTGTGTGTCTGTATGTGTGTGTGTGCAGAGAGTCTGCGGCGGTGTGTGTGTGTGTGTGTGCAGAGTCTGCAGCGGTGTCGCAGAACCCCCCCCGATCCGTCTTTCTTAAACCATGCAAAATATTTGCGTGCAAAAAGCTGAGTTTTGATCGGTCATAATAACACAGAATTTGGTGATGATATATTGTGTATATATTAATAATTTAAGATGTGAAATTCATTCCAGTTTATTTGTAGTACTACTTTCTTTATTTATTGTGTCATTTGGTGGCATCAATGTGATACAGATAATGGAGCAGTTGCTTTAGGGCCTCATATATAGTATAGCCCTTAAGGTTAAACCATGAGATCCTCGACCACCCATTTGATCTTGTTCTCTTTAAGTTAAGTCTAAGGCTTTGTATTATACATGAAATATACAGCAGGTGAAACACGTATTCAGGCCTCTTTATAGAATAAGGACATGAAAACAGTGATGCCAAACTGTATTAAAAAGGTGGACACTGTGACTGTTGCCATGGCAGAGTTATTCAAATAGAGAGAAATATGGGATATGTTTCCTCCTAAGTGAAGAGCAGTCTTTGTTCTAGTTGTGCTGTTTGGATATGTTCATGTAAATGTGATGTTAATATCCCGGGAGCCTTCCTGTGCCACACAGCGACTGCCCCAGTGCTCTGTACATGGCCTGCTGGATCAGTCTGTAATCCCTACTGTATTATGTATATTTATATTTAATATTTTACTTTAAACATGATCTGTGTAGCTTGATAATTACCAGTTAAATAAGTTTAATTTGATTTGATAAGTGGTTGTTATCACTATCTTTCTGTTAGAATTCAGGCAATAGTTTCCAATCGTTCCATATCAAGTCTTAAGGGTTTTATTAAGGT